CAAAAAAAAAAAAGAATTACAGCAGACTTCTCAGTACAGACCTTGAAGGCCAGAAGAGTTTGGAGTGAAGGGTTTCAAGCCCTAAAAGACAAGACTTCCCACCCAGACTTATATATCCTGCAAAGTATTCTTTTTAAATTGACAGAGAAATAAGGTGTTTCCACAACAAAGGGCACTTCAAGAAATTCATGACCTCCAAACCAGCACTCCAACAAATTCTCAAGGATATCCTAAAAAGAGGCAATGAAGGCCAGGGATTTAGCTCAGTGGCACTGTGCCTGCCTTGCAAGTGCAAGGTTTTGAGTTTGATCCCCGGTACCAAAAAAAGAGAGACAATGAAGCCAAAACTGGAAAAGAAGTCTAACAGACTAAAACACCAGGCAGGGTGAGCAGTGAAGCAGAAGTGGGGAAGGGAGTCAGCAACAGGAAAATCACACAATGACAGGAGTAAGTCAATACCACTCAGTAATACCTTGTAGTGTGATTGGTCTCAATTCCCTAAACAAAAGACACAGATTGGGCAGAATGGGGCAAGGGAAAAAAACCCCAAATATATATGGAATACAAGGAACACATTATGGAAAACAATATTCCATGCAACAGGAACCCAGAAAAAAGCAGGAGTTGTTATCCTAATTTTAGACAACATGGATTTCAAGCCAAACTGATCATAAGAGGCAAAGGTGATCACTATACACCGGTTAAGGGAACGATTCAGTGGGAAGAGATAACAAACACCTGTATACATCAAACACTGGCTTGCCCAACTTCATAAAACAAACACTACAGGACATAAAAAAAATCAGATAAACACTAAGACAATTATAATGGGGTATTGCAAATAGGTAAGTTACTTAGATATCTTGTGTGCAGTTAGACAGGACCAGCCCTCCAGGAGCCAACACAGCAAGGAGCTAACGTGAGGATTGATTGTCTCGAGGACAGCCAAGACGCATTCACTGAAGGCCAGAATTGTAAAAGGAGAGAAACCACACACCCTTGTGCTTCCCCTGGGGCTAAATAGCAGTGGTTGATATTCTAAACAGGTATCACTCACCTGGGTGGGGGGGGTCAAGGTCTTAACCCAGCCTCTCCAGGAAATATCCCTGACCCCCACCCTTACTGAAAATCCTTGTATGCTTGGTATGTGACTTGTTCCCCCATTTAACCCCCATTTAATCAATATTACCTGGGTGGCTGTACTTGTAATCTTATTGGTTGGTCATGGTTTTGTCCCACCTCATGCCCACCTTGTAAATTTCCATTGGGTCTTACAGTTTTGTCCCACTTTGTACCCACCTCACCACAAGGCTTTGCTGTATAAAACATGCTTAAGTAGTCCAAAAGAATTGAAATTATCCCGTGCCTATTATTAGGTTGTAGTGCAATGAAACTAGAAAGTAGTGGCAGAAGAAACCACAAATTATGCAAACACATGGAAATTAAACAATACCCTCTTGGAAAATCCATGGGTCACAGAAGAAATTAGTTCTTATAATCAAATGATAATGCCAGTACAACATACCAGAGCCCGTGGGACACATGAAAGGGATGCCAAGAGGGAAGATGATAGCTGTGAGTGTCCACATCACAGAAAGAGAGCAAGCCCAAATACTTAGCCTAAGGACGCACCTCAGCCCTCGAAAACAACCATCCAAATTCAAAGCTAGGACAAGAAAGGAAATCATAAAGATCAGATCAGAAATTAATATAATTGAGACTAAAAGAACAATGAATCACAGAGATGGTTCTTTGAAAGAATAAACAAAATAGACAAACATCAAGGCAATCTTATCAAAAAGGAAAGAAAAGGCCCCAATCAATGTAATTAAAATGAAGAAGGCAAAATCACAATGAACTCTGCCAAAATCCAGAAAATTATTAGTAACAACATTGAGAACCTGTGCTCCAAAAAAATGGAGAATTCAGAAGAAATGCACAGGGACCAGGGATTTAGCTCAGTGGCACCCCGCCTGCCTTGTAAGTGCAAGGTCCTGAGTTTGATTCCTGGTACCAGGAAAACCCCCCCAAAAAAACACACACAGAAGAAATGATTCCTAGATGCATGTGAACTACCAAAGCGGAAACAAGAAGACAAAAAACACCCAAATAATCTAATATCAGGCAATGCAATGGATTGAAGAAGTAATAAAGAAACTGCTAATTTAGAAAAGCCCAGGCCCTGATGGATTCACTCCTGAATTCTACAAGAACTTTAGGGAAGATGTAACTTCAATACTCCTCAAACTCTTTAATAAAATCAAAAGGGAAGCGGTATTCCCAAAGTCACCCACCCACCCACAGGCCCATCCATCCATCCATCTGTCCACCAATTAGCAGTATGAGGAATTCCTACCCCATGCCAGGCACCACAGTGGGCACAGGCATATGAAAATGAACCAGACTGACTCTCTACAGTCAAACAGGGAGAGATGACTAAGAGCTTGATCAAGGCCTATTATTTGGGAAAGGGTACTTGTCTCAGTCCCTTTCTCATTGATGAGACACAGTCCCTCACAACCCACGACTTTAAAAAGGAAAGGTTTATTTTGGCTCACAATTTAAAAAAATCTATTGGTATGTGTTCACAGTACATAATGTTTACATGCCTTGTGTGGTACACATGACATGTGTGTAATACATCCTAATTCTACTTTTCTTCCTCTTTCCCTCTTCTCCATCTTCTACCCCTTCTCCCCTCCACCCCTTGATTCCCCTCCCACTGAGAAAGATCTCTCTCCCTACTTCCTATTGTCTATCTTCAGTTTTGCTCTTTATTTATAATTTGGGTTTCTCACCTAAGAGAATCCATGTGATATCTAAGCTTGTGTGTCTGATTTATCTCATTGAACATTATGGTCTCAAAGTGCCTCCATTTTCCTACAAATGACTTAAGTTTATCAGTCTTTATGGTAGCGTACACCCCATTATTTGTAAACCACATTTTCTTTCTCCACTCATCTTTGATGGGCACATAGGCTGCTTCCAAGATCCACCTACTACGAATTGTGCTGCTAAAACAGGGCCACGCGTATGTCACTGTGAGGTGGTGTCTTTTACACTTTGGGGAAGACACCTGGCTTGCAGGGGCTTCAGTCCGTAGTCCACTGGCTCCCAGGGAGGACCACAGGGAAAGAGGCGGAGCAGAGAGGCTGCTGGCTTCACGGTGACCAGGAAGCGGAGGGAGCTAAGGGAGGAAGGTGCACCCTCCGCGACCACACCCCAAGCGCCCTCCTCTGACCAGGCCCCCTTCTAACGGCGGATTTAGGTAGAAACTCAGCAGTGGACCTGCCCGACCGCGAGTCTGGCTACCCAGTCCAGGCACCTCCCAAAAGCCCCGAGGGGCGTCTGGATCTAAAGCAGGAGCCTCGCACTGAGGTCTGGGCGAGGGTGGTGTTCAGGGGAAGCTGCGCGGCACACGCGGAGATTTTTGGCAAGTGATGTTAGGCTTGGGGGCGATTCAGCTCTGGGGTGAGGACTGAAGTCTGGGGAGTGGACGTGAGTGCGGCAAAAGGGAAAGGCCAGGGTTTGCAGCTGGACGTGGGGAGAGGACACAGGAGGAGAGTCAGTCAGGAGGGCCGGGGCCGGGGATTGGCCTTGTGGTCCTCAGTGTGCTCCTCTCGGATAGCTTCTGTTGGAGCGCTGTGGCCCTCCCTCCCTCCCCTCTCGTTTCTTTAAAGAGATTTTTGTTAGCATCTTCTTATGTTTTATTGTTCTACTTTTAATGAAAGATTTAGACTTTTCCTAAGCAATACTGTCATTCGACACTGCAGCGGACCACGTCCTCAACACCAGCTCAAAGCTGCTGCTTCACAGAGCTGGAGCATCGTGCTCAGTTTTGTCCTTATGAAGAATAAAGAAAGGCTGAAGGACTGTTTGCAGAAATACTCCCAAATGAAGAGATCCTTCAAAGGTGAGAGAATGGGAATTATTTAACCTGCACAAAACTCCGCTGCTTATGAAAAATATTTTTCTGGACTTGTCCAGTTATTGTATTTTAAATGCTAGGTCATCACTCGTACAGAGTGACTATGAATTGGGCCCGGGTGTAGTGCAAGTTTTAAGGGTGGCTGCGGGTGCCCGGGGTGGGAGAGGAGGGGAGGACTCTCGGGGGCATTGGGCACAGCGTTTGGCACATGGTTGGTGTTGAACAGATGAGGCAAATAATCAGTTAAACCAAGAAGTAGCTGCTGGGAGTTTCCATGAAAACGGTCCTGGAAAGGTTGCCATTTAAGGCTATTTTTATCTGAATGACAGATCTATATTTCTGCTGAGAGAAGAGCAAGTGGAAATACAGTTGAGCTGATTCATTCTGAACAGTGCCTGAGCTTTATAGAGCTCTGTTAGGTGCTGAACACTGAATAAAGTGCTTGTTCCGTAATAACCGAGTCAATCTTTATGACAATTATCCTTGTTTTGTCGTTTCGGAAACAAAGTTCACGTAAGTTATTTAAAGTCACACAAGTACAGGTGGAAACCAGGATGCCAACCTGAATCTAGTATTTTTTTATTTTTATTTTTTTTAGTATTTTGAAGCAGGGTCTCCCTTTGTAGTTCAGGCTGTCCCTGAACTCACTATGTAGCCCAGGCTGGCCTCAAGCTCACAGGGATCCTCCTGCCTCAGCCTCCTGAGTGCTAGGATCACAGATGTGTAGCAGCATGCCCAGCTCCACAAATACTGTATTTTTATCACTCCCCAATGACAGTAAATTGTCTGGTGACACTACAGAATCCTCACTGGGGCAGTCATTGCAAACAAGGTGGTTCTGCTGGGCGTGGTGGCCTGCGCCTGTAATTCCAGCCCTCTGGGAGACTGAGACAGGAAGATCTAAAGTTCAAGCCCAGCCTGGGCAACTTAGCAATTTAATGAGTACCTGTTTCAAAATAAATACAAGTTTTAAAAAGGGCTGGGGCTGTAGCTCAGGGTGAAGGCCCTGGGTTACTCCCCACTGCCTGCCCCCCCAAAACCAAAAATAAATACAGTGGTTCATCAAGAGTGCTGGGGTTACCAGATTCCACTAAGAGGTGTGGAAAACTTTTAATTGAAAAAAATAAAGCTTAATTACAAACATAAGAGTACATCATTTATGAATAGACATGTTAGTAGATAAAAGTATCTTCAGGGCTGGGGATTTAGCTCAGTGGTTTCGCTGCCTGCTGCACAAGCGCAAGGACCTGAGTTTGATCCCTGGTACCCACCCCCAAAATACATATATATATTGCTTTCATATCTCTGTTGATTCTTTTGTTGATTTAAAGTGGTTATTTTTCACCTTCTTACCTTAGTAAGTAGACTATAAGAAAATATTTTTTATGTTAGTCACATAAAAGCAATGAAATTTAAATTTAAACCACAGACCTACTTGATCAGTTAGCTTCTTCCTGCTTATTATATCCCCTGAATTTCTGTCATAGATATTGTTCTTTATATCATTTGCTATCGTCTGGGGTAAGTTGTGCTTTTGTATATTCCTGGAGGCCAGGGTCTGGCCATATAATTGGTGGCCAAATTTTTCCTGTTTTTTCAGTTTCCATAATTAGTATGATTCCCAAAGGCGGCAGAACCATAGAGAAGCCAAGCAGTCCTCAGCAGGGTCCAGGCCTATGTAGTACGTATCTGTGCGCACCTTTGGTTCCTGTGGGTGTGATAGTACTGGGCCTATAGCAGTAGATAAATGAAAGAATGAGGACAAAAGGCATTTCTCCAGGCAAAAACGAATGACCAACGAACCTTTGAAAACAGGACCAACTTCTTTCCTGATCAGGGAAATGCAGACCGAATATCAAAAGAGATACTCTTTATGCCCATCAAAATGGCAAAAATGGAAAAATCTGACAATCTCGGCTGTTGACAAGAATGTAGAACAATCAGAAGCCCCACACATGAAGGGTGGCAGAGTAAACAGGTGCAATAAAATAAGCCTGGAAAAGATTTGTTCTTATCTCGTGGTTACTGCTTCCTTTTCCCAGCAGTGGACCCCAGGGAATTCCCCACTCCAGTGCCCCAGGACCCCGGGGCAGAGATGAGCATAGCAGCCTCCTCCATAGCCAACCCCAACCGGAAACAGTCTAGACATCCACTGGGAGCAGGGCGGCAGACTATAATGTGCACAGTCATGGAATGAGCAGGACAGAGCAGAAAAACGAAGGGACTGCAGCTCCTGCCGAGTTCCTGGGAAACAGGATTTCCCAGCACTCTGGAAGGCTGAAGCAGGAAGATGGCAAGTTTGAGCCTAGCCGGGCAAGTTTGAGATTTAACAAGAGTCTGATTCAAAATTAAAAATGAAAAATAAAAGTCTCGATGAAGCTCAGTGTGAAGGCCCTGAGTTTGATTCCCAATACTGAAAAAACAAGTGAGGCCAATAGAACATGGCTGCATTTTAGATGAGGTTTCATTTAATTTTTGTTTGGTTTTTTTTTGGTACCAGGGATTGAACTTGGGACCTTGCGCGAACCACTGAGCCAAATCCCTGGCTCTTTATTTAATTTTTGAAGGGCTAGGCCTGGAACCACCTTGCATACCTTGGTCAAGCACCCTGTTTCTGAGCTGCAGCCCCAGCACCACATGAGGTTTAAAATGTAAATAGCACCGGTGGTTGATTTATACAGAGAAGGCAGACTGCAACTAAAAGCAAGATGGCGGTTACCTTCAGGAACAGAAATGCTGGAGAAGAGATTTAGGAAGATGCTGAGGAGAGGCTTGGGAAGTACCAGCGATGCCAAATGGGGTGGAGAGAACACATGTTCATCTTTCCTTGATTACACCTCAGACATACATTAGTCTTCTGAATCAATTTAATATTTAAGATAGAAATGAAAAAGGAATGAATATAATGTTTGAGCTAACTCTCCGGATAATGGCACCCAAAAAACATTTAGATGAGGACAATTCCCCTTCCCTCTGTTCTACTGGTTTGCAGTCATCTTCTGAAGGAAAATTCCACAGGTTGAAAATGGTAAATGTGAAAATAAACCACAAGGTGGCGTCCTGGGCTCGTGTGTCTCGGCTGATTCCTGGATCCCAGTCTGTTTACCTTGGGAATGTGGGCTGTGGCTACAGCCAGGGGGAACAGCAGTCTTTACACGGAGTGGCAGCTGATTTTTCTTTTTAGACTTTCTTCTCGCTTCATCGGTGGTGCGTGGCTTTACTTACACTCCTCCCGTGCTATCGGATTCAAGTTTGGAGGAAGCCAAACAGATGCAAGGCCGCGAGTCAGCTGGCCTAACTTGTGGGGCGGCTCTCATTCAGCCGTGTTGTTGGGACTCTCTCCTACAAGGGCAAGGGGGCCCGGAGACTCAGCGGTGAACAAAAACAGCCACTGAGATTCGGTGTCAATGGCGCAATGGATACAGACGGCCGCGGAGAATCGCAGGTGGACAGGGCGACTGGCAAGGAGGAACCCGCGCTTCACACAGTGCCACCCTGAGGTCTGAGCCACTTCCTGGTCGTGGGCAAGAAATCACGCGCTTGCTCTGAAGAATGAAGATGAGCGGACGAGGCTGGAAGGAGAGAAAGGAACATTCCTGGAAGGAAGAGCACAGTAGCAGGGCTGGAGCAGCAGAGAGAGGGGCTGGGGAGAGGCCCGGGAAGGGGCCGGGATCGCATCCAGCATGGGTTTGAAACCAGGGGCTAAGGGTTTTGCTTTTGAGACAGGGTCTTGCCACATAGTCCAGGCTGGCCTTGAACTCTCAGCAATCCTCCTGCCTCAGCCTCCAGAGCACTAGGATTCCAGGCGTGCACCACACACCCAGCTTTTGAATAGAGGAAACCTAACATATGCTCTTCTGACAGACACCTACCGTGAAAAAGCCACTGACTTCTACGATGTAAAAGGCCTGAAAGAGTTTACTTGACAGTCACCCTGGCTGAGAGAGAATGCCTCTTGGAATTTAGGGGACCGGAGTCATGTGACTGCGGGAAAGATGATCTGACTTGGGGCCTCAGTTTTTCTTATCTGCAAAACACAGCACTGGTCTAGTGTGTGTCCTTCTAACGATGAGGTTCTGTGAACTGGAGTTGATTCATCAAAAGCGAGATACACACCTTGCCAACAGATGTTGGGGGCCACCCTGGTGCGCCTTTAAACAAAGATGTGTCAGTGGAAATCAGGGGAGTGTGCCAGACCAGATGAGACTTACTGCGCATCTTTCGACATTTTCAATACACCCAATCTGAGCAAAATGCACCAGCATTTATTGATAGCATACTATTCCCCAGTCTTCTGGACACCATCTAAGTTAGTCCTCAGAAAATCCCCGTGAGACAGATGTTAAAAATTCTGTTACTAGGAAGAAGAACAAAGCTACACACTCAGTACTCTGCCCAGTCACATGCTAAGGTGTCAGGGTGTATCCAGATCTCTCTGATCACGGGATCTGGCCTTTTTAGTTTTCATGCTATTTATCATACTTTTTTAAGAGTTGAGATTTTAAAATATGACAGATACTGAACAGAGATAAAGTCACTCAGATTATAAATGTGGATTTCAAGTTTTTTCAAGTGGCCTGTGGACTAAATACCAAAAATTTTAATAAGTTCTTGTGGAATAAGCTGGTTAGTAGACCTGATTTAAGTAATCCACACATTTCTGCCGGCTTGACCCAGTGGTGGGACATACATGACTGTCCCATGGGGCGGCCTGTAGCCCCCAATGAGCCTGTCCCCTGCTGCCTGATGGGACAGTCATGCGTGTACCACCAGTGGGTCAGAGCTGCTGGGTAGCAAGACATAAGAATTACAGCCCTGTCATGAATGTGTTAAACATGCCAGGCACAGTGGCGCACACCTATAATTGTAGCATTCTGGGAGGCTGAGGCAGGAGGCGCTTAAGTGCAAGTCCTGCCTAGGGAACTTAGGCTATCGCAAATTATTTTTTAAAAAGTAATGAAACATGCATTATCCTGGATACGGCTGAGAAGCTGACCTATTGTTAAGCACACAACTTCCTTGTTAGCGTGTCTCTCCTATATCAGCAAAGGGTACACTTACAGCATTTTAACCCCGAAGCTAAATATTTTAAAAGAACAATTAGAGAAATCACTTCACCACGCCAGTCACTGTGTCACATTCTGAGGACAGCTTGGGAGGCGTATCTCTCCTTTTGTCTCAGACTCCCACACTCGGCCTGCTGGATAGGTTGCCTACTGGAGTCCAGAGTTCCTACTCTGCCTCAACTGTCTGTGGTTCCCCTCCTGGGACTCCTTGGGGTTTGAGAATCACATCAAAGAACAGCTCTGGGGTGAGAACCGGTCAGGGGAGTGGATAGTTCACGGTTTCAGCACTGAGCCCTGGTCCCATGACAGTCATGGCCAGAGACACGTGGCCTTCGAGTCCTTCTGCCGCTGCAGGCACCCGCCTGTGTCTGTCCCGTGACTGAGCAGCGTGGATATCACTGTTTGTTTTACAGCTCTGGGGATTGAACCCAGGACCTTAGGCGTCATGTGCCAGCCCTGGACTCCTTTGGGCGGCACTGCAGCCCAGAGGACCCTGCTCTAGCAGTGAAGACGCACTCACGGTAGACAACACCTGCACAGCTAGGCTTCATCGGATGGTTTCCTGGCTGCCCTTGGGTTTGATGCCACCACTGTGCCTGGCCGTGCTATGCTCTTGTGCTGGGGGAAAGATGTCACAGAACAAAAGCCTAACAGTGCCGCTTGTGTGGCCATTTAAAAGGTGGCTTAGGTCCCCGTAGAGTGGCTTGTGGTTGAGTCAGAGAAATGTGGGGTGACAATGCCACACAGCTGAGCCTCTGTGCGGGGACACAGAGGCCCGAACCACTTCCTGCTCAGGACACGGCCCACACACTTTTCTTTTCTTTTTTCTTTTTTTGGTACCAGAGATCGAACACGGGTCCTTGCGCTTGCGAGGCAGGCGGTGGAACCCCTGAGCTAAATCCCCGACCCCTTACACACTTTTCTACACTGAGTTCCCGTGAGGCATGTTGTTTTGGTGGAAAAGAAAAAAGTCCTATGTTTCTCTTAGTTAGAGAAAAAGGTTAAGAAAAAGCGCAGGCAGGTCTCGGAAGCACTTTCACAGCACAGTGAGGAGGAGTCAGTCCAGTCACGGACAGACAGAGAAGGAGAGGAGAAGTCCACGGAGGTGCTTGGTCATTTCAGGAGTGTGTGAGTGATTTTATTTTATTTTTTAAATTAATTATTATTTTTTTTTGGTACTGGGGATCGAACTCGGGACCTTGTGACTGCGAGGCAGGCAGCGGAACCACTGAATTAAATCCCGGCCTGTGTGAGCGATTTTAAACGGATCAAAACACTTCCACAAGCACAACGTGGCGAATAAGTCATTCTTTACAAGATGCTTTTTCTTCCACAAGAGAAAATATGACCGTGTTCACTGGAATAAAAACGCAAACCTGTTACAGTGCGAATTTGGTGTAAGAAACTTGAGTTACCTGCCAAAGGTATTTAGCCTCTTTCTAGCCCCTCAGGAGCCCAGGGTGATTCCTTGTCCACCCTTCGTATGGACGATCTCTCCCTCCACCGACTGACCGCGACCACAGCGGTCAGAGACACCGAATGTCTTGTGTGTAAGAGGCCACGTGACGCACCCGGGCTGTGGACGCGTTCTGAATGACCCGGTGTTTCCCCTAAGCAAGCAAGCAGGCAACAAGAACAGTGAGAACTCATCTTTTACATTCAGTGGGAGAGTACCAGTTCTTTTCAAACTCAGTTCACCCAGCGCCTGTCCTAATTCCTCCCGCGTGCCCTCACCGTTGTCAACTACCTTGAGGGACGCTGTAGAATATTATTTGGTGGCCTTTTTGCAAGGTGAGTTCGCTGGTGGTAGGACGGGTTCTCACCCACCTGCTAGAAAACAAAGCCAAGTCCAGCAGCACAAGTCCTCCTTAGGTGGTGTGTGGCCAGCGGGGTGGTCCTGCTTTGCAGCCTGTCCTGCGTCCCAGTATGCGACGCTGTGGTTTGTGCCAACCCTGCAGGCAGATGTCCTCATTCATCCCACGTGACCTCAGGCACGGAGTCTGCATGCGCCGGAGACCGAAAGAGAGCGGAGCAAAAGCGAAGCCCAGAGGACGAAAGCATGGGCCAGAGTGTCAATCAGCCTTGCCTGAGTGGCCGTGTGACCTGCTGGGCGTGGCAGGGACAATTATCTTCTAGGTTCCCACTCCTAATGCGTAAAGATGATAACATTATGGGGCCTGAGCACAGTCAAGAGGCTGATGAGGAATCAGATTTCAGATGCTTAGCACAAAAAAAACCAGTCCTGGCCGTTAGTACCACATCTGGTTTTTTCTCAGCTGTCTAAACACAGGTGCTGGTTCCGAGTCACAGCCGAGGACCGGATCGGCCCAGGGACCCGACTGGGCTCCGTCCGTTTGGGGAGAGCGCTGCTGGTACACTTCCCCTTCCCTGCTGATCGCTGCGGGCTCAGGGGCTTCTCTTCTGTTGGCCCTGCAGAAGTATCTCACGATGGCACCATTTGTGATGTCACACCACCGTGCCCACCTGTCACTGCTTAGATCTGAACAGAATTATAAGAGGAAGCCAAACTCCATTCTCCAGTGTAATGCAGCAAACAACTAGAAGTAGTCCCATTGGGCCAGGAAAGCATGAAAAGTAAAGCAGAGCAAAGCAAAAAAGCCCTGTTGCCTTTAGATGATTCCGCTCACAAAGTTAATCTGGGTTGTGTGAGTTGACCAGGACACCGCCTGAATGAGCTATAAAGGTGAGCCAAAGTAGTCATATTTAAATCTATGTGCACCTCTAGCCATGGATTTCTAAAATGGTATTCATCTCCAGGTATAATATTGTGCTCAAATTCAATGTGGGTTTTTTTCATTTTTATATTCTGATAATCAGGCTATTTGATGATTAGTCTGTAAAGTTGTATCCTAGTGGTTTTTCTTCTTAAAAATTGACCCCAGACCAACAGCACAGCTTACAATTGATGAGCCTCAGACTTATGGGATATGAAATCCTAAAATCATATTTCTTTGTGCTATCATCCAAGATGATCCCTCTTGCTTTGTGATAATAAATTGAATACAAGAGTCCAAAAAGCTTCATTAATATTGTAATACCTATGCACACATAGAAAGGAAAACCACCAATCTAGTTACTATTTGGACTTTTTTGTTTAAACATTACTTTAAAAATCTCTCAGATTTCTTGAAACGTGATAGGAAGTATATTTATAATAGCCAAAAGTCCTCAAGAGAGGAAGTCCTGGAAACCCCTTTCTTTGCCCTCAGCCGCCCCTTCCTGGGGGAGGGAGGGTCTTTGTGAAGATCTCCGAAGCAGCCATACCTGTCACTGCCAGGCGGGGAATGAACCTTCATGTGCTGCTGTACACCACCAAAAGGCAGTACACACAGCAGGTTCCCAGCAATGCCTTCTGCCCCACTGATGGGAAACGCCAGCTGGTCTACACCGCCCTGAACGATTCAGGGTACTGGTATTTCTAACACTGTTCCCTTTTATCCTACTGAGAACCCTTAAGAGTTAATTTCCAGGCTTATATACAAATAAAACTCACCAACAAATCAATCCCTAAAAATTCTTCTTTCCCTAGAACAATTTTAGAGGGCAGAACACCAATCCTATTCTGGTACCAAACATGAACATTTTCACACTTCAAGGTGACCAGCCACTTCACAAAAGACTTGGATCAGAGGTGAGAATCTCAGTGGTCAAGTTCATACACTGATGGGATGGGATTAAAAAGTGATGATATGAAACACCAATCACAGGCAAATTAACTTGAAGACTACCGAAGATACTGACAAGGAGCATGTTAACAACTGTGTGTCAAGTTGGGTTGCAAATATCTTAATCCATTAAATTGAAAAATAATCCATTTACAACTGGGAAGAAAAAATTTAAGGAGAAAATAAAGGAAAAGAAGTGGGGGCAGGAAAGGAGGGAAATGGATTTATGTGAAAATCAAAAAAATTTTTAAAGCTGTTGATATCTAAAACATCTTACATTTGAAAAAAGGGAAACAGCTGGGCATAGTGGTGCCCATCTCTGATCCTGGCACTCAGGAGACTGAAGCAGGAGGGTTCCAAGTTTGAGTCCAGCCTGGCTGGACAATTTAGCAGCTTAGTAAGACTGTCTCAAAATAATAAATTTTTACAAAGTTGAGAATGTAGCTCAGTGTGAAGGTCCTGGGTTCAATCCCAAGCACAGAAAAAAGAAAAAAAAAAAAGTCCTGTAAACACTGACATTACAGTAGGCATAGAATCAACTTCTAGAATTTAAAATAGAAATTATTTATGTGACCGTTGTTCACAAATCTTACTAAAAAACAAACTCCAAATACTACTAAATCCATCTTCTCATTTTCTATGAAGGTTTAAGAACCAGTTTTTGTAGACAGGAGGCAAAAGGGAATCATGTTCTCTCCTTTTTAATCCATTCACAGAAAGAGAAAAACAAACATTTGATTTTTCAAAACTGAAATAATGTAAAAGCTTTTTTTCCTTTGAGCATATCGAAATGCAAAATAAAAACATTCTTCTTACCACGACAATTGTCCAATGGCTTCTGGACACCACCTTACCCCACGACTTCTGGAAGAAGGGGAGGTGCCCAGAAAATTCCCATGTCAACCAAAAGGGGTTCTCAGCGGGCCACAAGGTTTGCCATTAGGGTTCACTGTGTACGCTGACATGTAGCATGAGTTGCTTTACAAGTACTACGGATTTTGAGTCACAAAATGTATGACACATTCCTAACTTACTATTCATAGTTGGCATTCTTGTGGAGGTCGTACTTATGCCTCTCTAAGCACCATGGTTAAGAATTAAAGGTGGAGGGCACTGCTCACTTCTTGTCTCCAAGTCTTACTGCTCATGCTTGAATAATTTGTGAGCTTGGATAAATGCTATTTTCCAATAAACTGTGAATCGTATTAGACAAATGAGTCTTGGAGTGAGGCGAGCCATGGCTTACTCTGTTAGCGAGCAGAGCCTCACTTGAAATCCATGTCGTTTCCACTGTGAAAAGCAACTTCATCCACATAAAAAGTCAAAAAGGACTTCATTTAATTAGTCATACAGACTTGTTTGCATAGAAAAAGGTTACAAAGTACTGCAAAAGACTAGGTACAGTCATTTTCAGACAAATATTTAAAAGTATAATTTTGCATAATGTTTAACATTCTCATATTTATTGCTTTCCCCACACAGCAGAGAAATGAAGTGCATAAGAATACATGCTGTGTCTTTATCTTTCAAATATAAAATCTCATGTGCTCAATTTCAATGCATTAAGAGATTATTTTGTCATTAAATCCAAAACCAAAACCAAAACGTCATGTAGCACTAGTCTAGGCACGAACAGAAATAATTTATGTACAGCCCTTTGCATACATTCATCTTGGTTTGGGATCCAACGCAGTCGCTAAGGTGACCAGGGGCAGTTCAGCTTGGTGGCTTCTCTCGTCCCCACGAGCTCTCCTTGTGCCCTCAGCCCCAGAAATGCCACTTTTCTCCCAAACGTGACAAGAACGGATGTTACATGTTACCAGGGGGAAACGAGGAGGATAAATAGACAAGAATAGTCCAAATGAAACTGAATAAATTAATGCAGACTCTGCGAGATGGAGCGTGTCCGTATCGGCAGGACCCAGGCTGCTGTGGGCGCGCTCCGGGCCTCCCCAGCACCTGGGGCCGGGCACTGCACAACGCGTTAATTAATCCAGGCACTGACGGAGTAGTTGCACACACTCACCGCGGCTGGGTGCACCACGCGGCCAGTCTGCACAGGCAGCGAGGGGAAACCGCTCTTCTCGGCCCCGGAACCTGCACCGTGACAGCTCGCAGCCCCTGCGGGGCCGTCCTCGGCCCGTGCGTCCTCATCGTGCAAGGCGACAACTCAGAAGGAAGCCTCCTTAGCGCAGGCACTTAGCAAACACCACTTCCCCTCCAGGGCCTTCAGCGGCGCCTCCCCCGGGCTGACTGGCGCGCGGCCCCGGCGTGCGGCCCTCCCCGTCCGCCAGGCGACGCCGAGCAGCCGGCCGTGCTCGCCACCGGCGGGCGTCAGAAGGCCCCGACCTCGGTGCCCCAGGGCCGGTAGGGCTTGGCGTGCGCCCCGCCGCCGGCCTGCGGGGCCCCGGCCGCCGCCACCGCCAGGGGCGGGCTCAGGGCCGTGGCCGCCGCCACCGCGGCCGCCGCGCTCGGGGGCAGCACCGGGAAGGCGCCGGCCAGGGACAGCGGGAAGCCGTGCGCCGCCGCCGTCGCCGCCGCGTGCACCGTGGCCGACAGCGACAGCAGCGACGTGGACAGCGGCGGCGCGCACGGCGCCAGGCTGCCTGCAGCGGGCACGCGCACGGCCGAGTCCGCGTGCGCGAAGGTGGCGGTGAGCAGCGCCGAGCCGTGCGCCGGGGCCGCCTCAGAGCCCGGGGACAGGCGGCACGGGCCGTCCGCAGCGTGCAGTCCGGCGGGGCGCAGCAGCGCGGCCGGCAGATGGTGGAAGGCGGCCGCCCAGGGCGGGTGCAGGGCGTGGGGCGGCGCCAGGGGCGAGGCCATCGCCGCCGCCTCCCGCTGGGTGGCGCACGAGCTGAGGTGCGAGACCAGGCGCACGCGCAGTGGGTCGGAGGAGTCCAGGCCCTCCACGGAGCTCAGGTAGCGCGCCACCTCGGTGAGGCACTCTCGGAAGCCGATGCTCATGAAGTCCACAGCCAGGGCATGGGCGTCGAAGTAGCCTAAGGGGCGCAGGGGGCAGGAGAGAAGCGGAGAGGAAAATGAGGCGATTCATGAAGTTTTCTGCCGTTCAGAAGATTTAAATACTGAGAATGCTTGCGGAGAGGAGGCCAGCTGTCCATGGCCTCCGTTTTTGCAGAAGTTAAAACAGTACTTTGCAACTCCTGTCTGCAACTGAGGCAATGCAATGTGCTACAGTTATTCTGGCAACTAAATATCACAATAGGAAAAACTGAACATCCTTGTTGCAGACACTTCCAGAAAGAGAAAGGTGTCTGCTTTCAGTATGGTGGCAGGATGACTTCCCCCAGGAAATGTCTGCAAGGGAAGGAGCAATGGAAAAGTCTCTATGTCTCGTCAGGAGCTGGAAATCCAAGGGATTATCTGAAACATCCTTACCGTCGGGGCATTTTAACGGAGACTGAAGAAAGTACAACTTAGCAGCTTGAAGATACTCTATAGAGACATGCTAGAATCTGTGTATTCACAAGTGCTTCTTAGATCACAGTGCTTTTTACCGCTACAGTGAAAACATCATGCCATTACTTTGTGTGAGAGAAATTCAATGAAAATGAGTTCTAGAAAATTTGATTACTAATTTGATGATCTTACTCTCCTGTCAAGTATTATAAAGGTGCTCTAGTGATAGGAGATTTCTATAACTCCTAGGTTTCCTGAAGTTCATTGGCCAGTTTACTTTTCTCTGGCATCTACTCTAGAAAAAAAGTATATTAACTGTATCAGTCTGTATGCACAGCCCCCCCCACCTCCCGCCGCCACCTACGGTTATTACCTGGGTCACCTTTATCAGTCCTGTTTTTACCCCAAAATAATATATTAGAATAGAAAATAGTGATGTCTGTTATTGTAGTGCTAGTGTAGGGCACAGTAATAGCTACTTGGGGAAATGACCTTGTCTTTGAATGAGTGACCTCTAGTATGTACAAACGTATCCTTTTCAGATTCTCATTTGCAACTCCTTGGTAAGTGATTTTTCTAATTAAAAGTTTAGTCAACTCATTTTTCAGATGTGTGTATACATGCATGAGAAACAGCACATTGAAATAGTTTTCATCTAAGAAATTATATTTTCATATCATGATATGAAAATCAATATGTGAAATTATTCATATAATTGATATAACTATATGAATAATTTCATTTGATTTTGCAGATCAAAATGTTACCTGTTAGATTTTTTTATCTATTAAAAATTAGACTGTAATCAAATTAATCTGTAATCAAAGCACGTTGGAAATCAGTAATCCCATTTATTTAAAAGTTCTAAGGCTGGAATTTCAACAGAAACCTGGGTGACCCCAAAAGATGTTTGGGAACAAGTATATCCACCATTAAAACAGAAACAGTGATACTACAAAGATGCCCAAAGAGAAGATCATGAAAGGTGGAAGATTAGCAGGAAAACTTATGATCATCCCAGGACCTTGGCATAATTAGCAAACCAAACACCTGGGATTAGGAGGAGACGCCATCCCTGAAGGTGGCCCTCTGTCATTTCAGTGTGGGGCATGCCAGCTTCTGGCTTCCATGGGAGAAGAAGGGAGGTAGTGATCAGAGAAGACAGAGTCCAGAGAGCCAGAGGCATTTAGAAGCTTACTGCACTAAATCGTCTCCAGAAATGAGTGAGATACCAAGATAGGTTGTGAAGAACGAACCAGCAGGATTGGAACTCCAGGAATTTCTGCACATTTTCATTAGTTATCACAGGGTGACATTTGTGGTTTGCTAGCTATGTTGCTGAATATGGCTGAGTCTTCTTTTGTATCTTTTTTTTTTTTTTTTTCTGGTACTGGGGATCGAACTCGGGTCCTTGTACTTGCACAGCAGGCAGCGAAACCACTGAGCTAAATCTCCGGCCCATCTGTTGCATCTTAAAGAATATAAATTATGTAATTCCTTTCCTGTTGTTGAATGTAGAGGGAAATGATGATCCACACCTGTCTCCTGCGACTGTATCATGGGCCAACAATAGCACACGTGTCTATAACCACTTCCTGTATGCCAAGTTCTTCCTGGTTCTACCAGCTTTAAGTGAACTAACTTGCAATATCCCTGTCCTCATCTTAGTGATGATAAATTTGGAGTTCAGAGAGGGTTAGTAATTTACCCTGGGCCACAGAGCTAATAAATGGCAGAGCCAGGAGTCAGAATCAGACAACCCAGCCACAGAGTCTGTGCCCTTCCCCTCCATACTGTGAGGCAGCTGGCACCTGACCATGTGAGCCCAGACTGCCAGTCCCCCTTGGTCACACCTATGCATTCCTCTACATGAGACCTCTCTAGTGCCCTGCTAGTCAGCTGACTGGATGGCGCCTGCTTGGAAAAGTCTACTCACAAACTATTCTTGGATGAATGTAGGACTGTTCAAACAGCCCAGAATAGCAAGCAAGATGGAACTCAGTTTTCAGTATAAAGCTGAAGAGCAGTGCGACTCTTTAGAAGTCTAACTCATGCCAAATATTTAACCCCCCTAACAATCCTCAGCCTCATCGCTAACAAGGCCAAGGGAGGTAGAGCCATCACACAACTCTTCTTGCACCACAATGAACTGAAATCGGCCTCCCAGCATCTCGAAGTAGCAAGTGAAAGGACAGACCAAGGTACTAGCGGGGTCTTTCTAGCTCATCCTGCTAGTGTGAGCCTCAAACAGCAGTGGTGACGTCTGTCTTGGGTTAAAGGCCAGGCAGTGGGGTGGATCACTGGCTTCTAAGATTTCACTCAATTTCCTTCTCCGTTTCAGAAGAATGTGTGTTTAACCTATGCAATTCCTTATTCCTGCAGAAGGGTGATCGCCTCCTATCTGACACAGGTGAAAAGTGTTGGGACAGAGTGGATGTTCTGTAGTCCCCAGGTTTGTAAAGGTGACTTCCAGCCCGTGCTCCACTCCGCCTTCATGTAGGACTGCTAGGCTGTGCAGTACAAGGCCGGTACTCAGTCTAGGAGGCCTCCAGGACTTAGCTGCATTACTTACTCCTGCGGCACCCTTTCCTCATTCAGTTGTTAAATATACTGCATAACATTTCCACTGAGATCAAAGGCTTCCTTGATGGCTGAAGAAGCTACAACAGGGTGAAGTGGCGTCTTAGTGATGGTTGCGAAGTGGGTTAATGAAATCTGGATGGGTGTTACAGCTTCGAGTAGCTCAAGTCTATTTGGCATGAGAGGAGGATGCCTCCCTGGCCCCTGACAGCCTTCGGGAGGGTACAGTCAGTAGGAGGCCACCTCCCCAGCACTGGGGCCGCAGCGCCCGTTCCTGCCCATCCTTCCCAGGAATAGGTCAGCTCTGTTAACGTTCCTAGGCCAGACATTCACTACCTGCACTTGAAATGCTCTGTTTGATGTAAAGCCAAGACTAACCCAAAACCTGGAAACAACAAGAATAATTTTGGAGTCACTTCCTTTGGAATAGCTACATTATTTTGCCTCCTAGCCTTGATTTAATGGAAAAAAAGGAAGAGAAGAAGAAGAGTTAAAGGTTTCCTCTAGGCTCCTGTTTGTTTGGATGTTTGTGTGTTTGTTTTGTCTTTCTGTACAGATTCCAGCATGTGCTCCTTAAACCCCAAACAAATCTCTGACCAGGCGGCTGTGAATGAAGCTTTCCTCCCACAGCATGATGAAAGCAAACACAAGCCCAGGGTCAAGGGCTTCCCTTGTTCCAGAAGTCCTTTCCCACGAGTGCACTGCATTGATTCCCGGCTCTCATTGGGAACGGCCTGTCTCTGCCTGTTAAAGAACTGTTCAGCTACGACTTCCTTACAGTATTAGAAGGAGGAGATGAAAAGGGAAAGGAGATTTAGCTCAGGTAGAAAATGCAGCCCCTACTTACCCTTACCCCCTGTTGCCTGAAGCATCTTCAAATGATCCACTGTCATCTGCAGTATTTCAGCTTTTTCTAACTTTGCAGACCCCTTCAGAAACAAATAGTAAAGTCTCGTGAGTCATACAGAAGCCAGCTTGGAACATCATATACTGAATTTAATATTATGGCTTCAAATCTCCCTCTCTCTAGAAAATTCTAACTTTAATTTCTTAAAAAAAATCTTAGTTGTTTCCAAACTTTGCATGAAAGCACTAATTACTATGTCACAGTTATTGCACAGAAAATAAATTATTATTTTTTAGATTAGGAGAAGAATTATACTTTTAAAATCAGTTACAGGCCCGGGGATTTAGCTGAGTGGTTCCGCAGCCTGCCTCAAAAGCACAAGGTCCTGAGTTCAATCCCCAGTACCAAAGAAGAGAAGAAGAAGAAGAAAAAAAAATCAATTCCAAGGAAACCATTACAATTGTAAAAACCTTAAATTTGGGCCAGGGATTTAGCTCAGTGGGGCCCCAAACATGCCTTGCAAGCGAAAGGTCCTAAGTTTGATCCCTGGTACAAAAAAAAAAAAAAAAAAATCTTAAACTTGGTGTTCAATTTCTACTTTGGTCGATAATATATTTTATACCAGACATTCAACAGTCATAAACAGTAATCCTGAAGTCAGGATCAGTTGAATATTTGAATACCAAAAGATAAGAAGCTAGGATTTTAGCAAAGTATTGTTAAAAGTAGATTATCCAAAAATAATACACTCTACTAAGTCCTTAAAGTAATTCATAAAAGACCATGAGTGAGCAGAGACTTAAAAAAAAAATCCTTTTTTGGTCCTAATAGTTACCAGCAGGTGTCACTGTGAATTCCAAGATCTAAACACAAAATGAACAAACTACAACTTTAAGAAGCATCAGAAATACTTAAGAATTTTTGAATCTTTCAAAAGAGTTCTTAATAAAAGTTGTCTTGCAAATTACTGTAATGTCCCCTTTTTTAAATAAGGCAACTTCTGAAACCAACTGAAACACAAATGTGCCACCTCAAATTTTCTCAGGGCTGTGGGTGGCTTCTAATTTCCTGGAAGGCCCAAAGAATTAAACCAATATATATTTTTTAATTCTAAAGTTTATTTCAGGTTCTTTACTTGTTTTGTGAAAATTATCAGCGCCCTTTTCATGGCGAGAATGCCAGGGTCATTCAGCTGCTGTAAAGAACCCTCTTCTAATCACACTGTGGCAGGGCCAGCTCAGCAGGGTTGGCAGCCAACCTCTGCAGAGGCGGAGCTGTGTTTAGGGCCACTCACTGCCAGACAACTGAGGGTTTGCTCTTAAGGCTTGTTTTAAGTCAACATTTTAAAAAATCTAACAAACGAAGAAAAAAAAAAATCACCAAATGCACCACTTCTCAGCAGTCAGTAGACATTTCAGTAGTTGAAATTTGAAAACATTATCAACATTTTTATTTGCAGCCTATTGTAACTGAAAATGCTCTTAATCAAAAGTGTAATTCCCATTATAATTATATCAAAAACAGTCTCAGAAGCATATCCACTTGGTATCTTTTTTGTCTTAAAATATATCCCATCTGTGGCAGACCACAGCTTGTACCTGAGTCAGTGCTTAGCTTTTCCATGAAGATGTACAAGTGGTTTCAATGAAAGCCACTAAAACAACTACGACTGCAGTTTCTGGACAAACTCCAAGGGCTTTAGGGCTTGTTTTATGTTTGCAGATTCATGAAGTAAACAAAAAAACGGAATAAACAAACAACTGCTGTCTTGTACCCTATTTGGAATCGAACTGAAAATATTTTCAACAAGGACACGCTGCCACTGCTTCTGAAAGATGCTCTTAGAAATCCGTGCCATTAGCCACTGTGGCAATTGGAAAAACAAGACTTCCCTAAAGCCGCAAAGGAAGACTTAAATGTTTGGTTTTCTACTTTTCTAAGTGAGCAAAATCTTTTTTTTTTTTTTTTTTTGGTAAAGGACTTCTTCAACTCTGAAAAGGGGCATTTATGGCTAATCTGATTGTTTTTAACCAAAGTTCCAAAATAGGCCCCAAATCATACATCATTCTATTCACCGAGGGATTAAAAATGAAAGCAAATGTCTTAGTAAATAAATTGTGTTAGTATTGTTATTTAGGAAATAGAATGAGAAATGTTATTTCCTGGGCTTTGTTCTTTTTTTTTTTAATTAAAAAGGTTACTTTTTTACAGACTGAGGGAAAAATGTTATTTTAAATACAATATAAACATATATCTTTTGAATAACATTATATATAGTACAGTTTTAAACAAAACCACTCTGGTATTCACAGAGAGAATGGAGAAAGCCTGAACACTGTTACCCTTAAGGGAAAATAAGCTAAAGATTGGAAATGTTTTTTCAACTTCATGATGGATTATGTTTTTAATAGTTTTGCCACAACAAAGCATTTTATTGAAATAGCTGCTCTGGCCCGATCTTGGGGCACATACGCCATTATTTTAATGAGCTTTAACAAGAGCCCACATTCCCAGAGGAGAGAATCAGATTCTTAGAGCTTTTTTGGGAGGCGGGGTGGGGGTAGCTTACTTGTTTTTCAAAAGCAGTTGGCACCAGCCGTCTCAACTCAGATAAACTGTTATTTATCCGATCCCGACGCCTTTTCTCTATAATCTATCCCAAAGAAAGCAAAATGAGAAAAGTTTATGAATACAGAAATGATAAAATTACGCATAATGGAAAATCACAACTGTTACCCATTAAAGTAGCTTACATGAAATAAAAAGAAAAAAACCCCACATACCCCTCTTCTTTTCTTTCTTGCCATAATTTGAGATGATGTTGTTGGAGAATTCGGTCTAATCCCAGAGCTAGCACTTTGCCTGTGAGATAAAAAGAGCATGTCAGGTGCTGCATTAACACAACAATTGCTTCTTTGGGTTACTTAAGTATTCAGGATGATTTCAAGGTTCATGTCTGTATCATTTTATTCTTGGTTCTTCAATCTCAGCAGACTTTGTTCTTTGCCTTGCTGACCTTTCTTCAGGTAGGAATTATACCTTAAATTTTTTTTTTAAAAAACAAATAATCCAGACGCCAAATGTATGGCAAAAGTGGCCTTAAACTTAGTTTGAGCCTCTCAGTAAAATAATTACGGACAGTGGAGGTGGGAAGTCAGATCCATAACTCTCCCAGGTCCACTCATGCGTATTTCTTAAGAGGCAGCTAATCTTTCCAGAGTCACTCCCTCCTGTCACACGCCGTGTACAATCCTTCAAAGTGCGCGTCAGAGGAGGGTCCGCTCAACCGGCCCTCACAGGTCAGTGTCATCCCCAATTCAAGCTGGAAAATAAGTGATCTTACTATTTCAAAACTTCAGTCCTGTCTCATGACAGAAAAAAGCGATGTTTTGCATATGAGTATTTTAAAAGAATACCCTGAATTATAGAGGCCAGGGACAAGGAAGTTAAAATCCAGTTTAAGGTTAGGTAAAGGCTTCGCTTTGACAATGGAACCCTCCCTTCAGACTGGGCTGAAACCTCTCAAAGCGGCGACTCACCCTGGCAAACTATTTTACATGGAAAGTCCAGTCCGACTACTGGGTCGCGTAACTCACACTCCGTCCTTGTTTGCGTCTCTCTTCATACTTCACGTCCAGGTCTCCGGATTACCCAGGTCCCACTCTTCGCCCTCTTGCACTTTAGAGATGCCGCGGGCACCTCGCGTTCCCGCGTCTGGCCTCATTTCCGGATTGACTCCCACTTCATCCTCAGCCTCTGTCCTGGTTTCACTCCCCTGGACGCCGGGCCTCCCGCCTCTTGCAGGTGACCGGCACTGTAAGAACTAGATTCTCATCGGCGACCTTTCGCGCATCTTTGCTCCTGCTGTCTTCAGGCTTCGGTTTGCTCGCGTTAGAGGAAAGGGATGACAGAAACCCGGTTTCCGGAGGCAGAGAGAGTTGCTCTGAGTGAGCGCTGCAGATAAACGGCGAGGGCGCCCCCGGGGACGCCGGTCAGAAGCAGTCGCCACCTGGCCCGGCTCCGAGCGGCCTCGGCGATCTCCGGCCCTGAGCGGGGGCTTCGCGTCCGGGATCCCACGCCGGTCTTCCCCGGACTGACGACCCGCGGGCACACGAAGGGCGCCGGAGCGGATGCCGACGTCCGCCCCACTCGCGGGAAGCCCGCCCAGCTCCGCCCCAGCCCGACCTGCAGGCTGCTTTTTCTCCGGGCCGCTCTCAGCTTCGCTAAAAACCCAAACCGAACGGCTTCGCTTCCCTGCACCTCGCGCTGGAAGCGCCTCCCGAAGCACAGGCCGCGCGGCGGGGCGTCACGCGTGGCCGTGGGCCTCGCGCCCTGTCCCCTCCTGTCGCCTCCCCTGAACTTTCCGCCCCCGGGGGGTGAACTCCCCGCCTGGCCCGGCCCGGCCGGACTCCCCGAGCGTCCCCGGCCCCACGCTTCCCGCGCAAACCTCCCGCCGCCCCGCCGGTCGCCGCAGATCGGCAGCCCCCCGGCCCACGAGCGGGCCCCGAGCTCACCCCGAGTAGTTGTTCTCGCTCCCCACGTCGATCGTCTCGTCCACGTCGCTTTCAGACGTCGTCTCCTCGCACGGGCGCTTCATCGCGCCGCCCCTCGCCTCCTCCTGCACCCGGACCTGCGCCGGGCAGCGCGGTCTGCTCCTCGCCGCGCTTTCCCACGCCGCAGACCCGCTCTGCCGCCTCAGCCGGCGCCGGCCACGCCCCCGTGTGGGTGGGACCGCCTCTCCCCGCCCCGCCGGGCGCGGTCCCCGCCTCCTCGGGGCAGACGTGGCTCGCTATTGGCGGAGCCAGAGGGGCGTGGCCGCGCCGGCCAATCCCCGCCGCTCTGCTCGGGCCGAGGCGTGGGAACGCGGCCGCGCACCTGGAACCGAGAGTCGCGCGCGGGCTGGGCGAGGCGGCGGCGGCGGCGGCGGGCGGGAGCGAGCGCGGGGTTGGGCGCAGGCTCCGGGTTCCCTGCCGCGGCGCTGCGCGGTTCCGTCCCCTTCTGTCTCGGCCGCCGGGCAGCGCTCGGGGACGCTCCACACGGACCGAGGTTGTCCCTGGGTGGTGGGAAGGACTAGAGCAGGCGAGCGCAGGACCCAGGACGCGGCGTCCGTGGGCTTTAAATCCCGGCTTCTCGCTCTGCCTCGCCCAGATGGGTGCCTCAGTTTCTCCTCCAGCCCCGCCCCGGCCCCGAGAATGCGGGCGGCAGTCCTTGGGGCGCGGGAGGGAGGTGGCGGCTCGGCCCTCGAGGGGCCTCCTGAGCCTCCGCTCGCGCCCAGCCACCCTACGGCGTGGACGGCGTGCGCTGTGTGAGCTCCGGGCGCTCAAACTGCGTCTCCGAACTGCTCTTTCTGCCCTCGTCCTGGGGATTTTCCAGCCGGCTCTGCCGGTTTGGCTTCGCGGAGCGTAGCAGCGAGCGAGAGCAGCAGCCGCGGGCCCGGCGGGTCAGGTCCGGCCTGAGACCCACGCGTGGCGCCTGGGCAGCTCCGGGCTCGTGGGAAAGTGTCCTCCACCCCCACGGCCCCCACCGCGCACGCACCGGGTCATCCCGGGATCCTCGCACTCTTCCCGCACGCGAGGCCAGTGGGGCGGGAAGGAGAAGGGAAAAGATTAGGCCCTGAGCTAAAGCCGAGGACCGCAGCCGGTGCGTTAGACCCTATGAAGGCACAAAGCCCGCCCTCCAGCCTCGGTCCCTGCAGCCTTCGGTGACCGCGAGCACAGAAACCCGGAGTGCTCCGATCTGACTTCCGAACCACAGCCCTGGGCCGGGCGGGGGGCGGCGGGGAGCCCCAGCCCCGGGGCGGCTCCGGGCTGCCTGGCAGCGCGGGGAACAGGGCCTGCTGCGTGCTTGCGGTGCACGCGGCCGGGGTGGAGAGCCCACGCCCGGGGTGTCCAGGCTCACCTGCCCAGCCCCCGCACAGGCACCGGCGCGCCCAGCCCTGGGGACGCGCGCGGCCCGGCAGGCGCGAGCTCAGCCTGGCCCGCCTGCAGGGCTGCACGTTCCTCTGAAAGCTGAAGCCTGCGTGTGCAATTAACATCTGCCACGCGAGCAAATTAGCGGGCGCTTCCAAAGGCCGGAGGCCAAACCTGGAATCCTCATTCTCACTCTGCTAGTGTATTTAATTATAACGATTGCGAAAAATTGCAGGGGGAAATGGATAGCTTGCAATAAAGTAGCAACTGGTTAAAGTTTTTCCATATTTGTCTTTGAAGACGTAACCGCGGCCCGGTACATAAAGAAAGATGCAGCAAGGGCGTTCGAAAGCACACACAGATTTAAAGCCGCTTATAATTTTTTTTTTTAAAGTAAAGACCGTATTTTTCCAGCCTTCAGACAGCGCCTGAGGCGATAGCAAACGTTGTACTTCTGGTAAGGAATAGGGCAAAAGACACGGCATTCTGAGCACTAGCAAAGTACATGTCATATGCTAGTCTATCTTTAAGACACTTGGCCCCGATTAGCTGAGTTCTCCCATTAGATGTTATATTCCTTTCAAGTATCACATATGTCTGCTCCCTGATTGGGCGTCTAGTCTGTCTCGGATCCCTCTGTCGTGGGTCACAGGAAGAAACAGGGCAGAAAGTCTTTAAAAGCACCCTAACTTATTTAAGGGTCGAGAATGACGGGCGGGGGGTGGGTGGGGGATTGCAGGAGTGGCCTGAGGAGAGAGAAAGAGGGGAGAGAGGGAGAGACTGGGAGACAGAGGGAGAGAGGGGGCTCGAAAGAGAGGGGGAGAGAGAGAGAGAGGGATTTTAAACTTCGCTTCCTTGCGACATTCATTTCAGGAAAAGTTGGTTGAAGGTTTACTAACGACCGCGGCAGAAGAAAAGATGTCCACTTAGATCAAACTGCACTTCTTTCCTTTCTTTTTGAAAGATTTGAACAATGAGATAATTAGACCGATAGATGGGGGGAGGGCTGTCCTAGAATTCATTAAAAAGTCCAGATCTAATGGGAATGGAGGAAGGAGACTCAGTCGCCTTCCAGAAACCGATTCTCTTGGGGGAGTTTTGTGATTTTTAGCCCAGTGCTGTGAAAATGAGGTGTGCGTGCAGAGATCTGGAAATCAGATTCAATAAAGTTTTGATATTCCTCCCAAGGGACTCTATCAGTGTTATAAAGTTAGTTTTCACACTCATTTGGTAAGTTGAGTGATCTTGACCAAATTTCGTCTTGTCCTACAAATTTTGAGCTTTCTTTTTTTTTTTTTTTTTGCGCAAAGTAATGAAGTGATTGTTGCAATTCTAAAAATTTCCCTTGTGGCATTTTGGGAACGAATGAGGGATCTTTAAAAACTCTTCTTGGTCTGCTTTTTTTCATTAGAACCCTCAAATTTTTCAAAATCAGTTTGTGATTTTGTGGTTACAATTAATTAAATTGCATCCTTTGTGGTTACAATTAATTAAAAAACGACAGCCACTGGTTGATAGTTTAGTGGGCTCAGAAAGTCATCATGGGTTGATACCATGTTAACAAAACGTTTAAGCCTAGTTTCTCAGAGAAAGAAGGACTGTTCTCTTATTTAGAGACCTTCACATTTGTCTGAGAAAACTTAATACACGTAATTCAAATTTAGAAGTTCAATATTTTGCCTCCTTGTAAATGCTGTAATTGTTCACTCGGCTTTCTCTTTCAAAGCAATGACTAACAGGCTGCCTGAGGAGTGCGGGTCTATTGCAGTCACCGAGCCAGCCGGGGGCAGGTGATAAGCCTGTGTGTTGCTGGGCTGTCTCTGCTGATTCCAAGGGTATCATGCGCTAGCAGCGCCTCAGAATGTGTGAGAAGGCTGAGCCCGGGGAGTGAAGGCCAAGGGCAAGGGCCTTGTAAATTTCAGTACCTTTCCCATCATCTGGCTGTTGGCTGTCACAGGCCAGCCACTCTAGGGTCACGGTGTGACACAAATTTGCAAGCCAGTAAAGCCAAACAAAGCTGAAGGCAGAGTAAATTTAGGCCCACCAACCTTGAAGCCCACTCTGAAAGGGCTCTGCTTCACCCTTTTCAGGGACTCCACTGCGTGCATCGGATTTCTTGGCTCACTCTAGTAGATGCTACTGGCTTGTTACATCTGGGGCTCCCGAGGAGAGGGAGGAAATCTGAGCCCCTACCCTCCCTTTTGTGGAAGTCAAAGTGTTTTAAATTGATCTCTGTTGTTAAGGGACACCATATTTAAGAGCTTTAGTTCATGGTGCTTTTAGTGTTTAGCGCACCCCAAAGATAAATGGTTCTGCTGCAGGACCCTGGAGAAGGGGGCCTTGCAGGGGTCACTGGTTCCCCGCACACCCCGGAAGCCAGCAGTCAGAAGATGTCCACCCTCACAGCACACTCCCAGGGGCTAACCTGACACTGGCAGGCTTTTCTTTGGAGGAAAGCCCTTAAATGAAGTTGGTTTGATTGGCAGATATTTTACCCCTCTCTTAAAGGGTGACAGTAAAACACATGCACTTTGCTCAAGAAAGTGATGATACCTCAATGGGGTGCCTAAGATGTGGTTTGGGATAAATGTCATGTAAAAATTAACACTTCCTTTGCTTTTTTCCATAAACATTTATAGTTTAAATAAATAAAATACAATAAATAAATTGAATTTAAATTGGAATAATAAAATAGAAATCAACAAACATTAATTGGAAGCCATAAAAGTGTGGAGAATACAGTCTCCTTCCATGTGAGCCTGACAGCACTTATTAAATGGGCCCATAGTTTGGCCCTTAGCTTTCTGGCAGAAATTTTTAATTTTTTTTTTTTTTTTTTGGTACCGGAGATCAAACTCGGGACCTTGCGCTTACAAGGCAGGCGCCGGAACCACTGAGCTAAATCCTTGGCCCAAAATTTTTAATTTTTATAGTCAGAAAAGTGGAAGCATATAGCTTTTCAAAAAAAAAAAACACAAAACTACCCTGTCACCAACTTCTAAAAGAACCGTGCCATTGCCTTGACTGCAGACTTTAACTTTATTTTGATTATTTAAAACAACTATTTTTTGTCAAAAATTTTCTCCCAACTCTATTAATTATAACATGAAAAATAACATTGACACGATGCATAAATGGAGACAATAGTTTATCTGCTGTTAGTTGAATAAGCCATTGACTAAGCTGTCAAGATTCATTAATCAACATTAACAGGACTAGGGTCTATAGTGTTCCAAAAAATGTGAATTCCATGAAGGAAAGTGACTGTTTCAGGAAAAAAAAAATAAATCAAAGATTCCTGAATCTGGTTGGTTGATACTATTTGACGAAAATGAAAGAAACGGACAGAAGGTTGATATTTTCAAGTGCTATGGAAAACTTTAAAACTAAAAGGATTTGCCTAGAGAATGCAAATGAACATCCATATTTCTTGACACTTTTATTAGAATGTTTTTATTAGATATGTGTGTCTTGGTGTCCTCATCTTATTTTTAAACTTGTAGATGACTTCTTCAAAAAAAACAACAACTCAAACTTTCTAGATTAGAAATAAGAACTTGCTTTTTAGATTTACTGTGGAAAGAAATAGGCTATTTTTGATCTTTGACTTTTGTAAGCCCATCAAAATACTGTACAAGAGCAGAAAAATAACATTTTGTCTTGTTTTTTTCCCCCTGGCCTAACTAAATTTTTTCTAGCAGATAAGAATTTGACTGTTTCTTAGTATTTGGTGATTGAAAGACAAAGCACAAAAGTTTGTTTTTTTATTTCTATAGCTGTGAAATAATTTATAGCATAATAATA